CACAAACATGCCATCAGACTCAGTTATATAAGAGTAAATTTTTATTTCAAAAGTATCTGGCACTTGTTTTAAGGAAATTTTCTATTGGGCAACTCTTAGACTAGGGGGGAGACGATCTTATTTTAAAGAGGCTAACCCACCCAGCTTAAACCTCTCCACTAAGTGGCACCAGTCACTGGATGAATCCAAAGTCAGCTGTGTGGTAGCACTGGACATTGCTGGCGCTTTCGACCGGGTGTGGCACCAGGGCCTCTTAGCAAAACTTTAAGCACTGGGAATTGCAGGCTCTACGCTATGTCTCCTCAGTGATTACCTTCATGGTAGATCTCTAAGTGTAGTTCTCAATGGAACGGAATCAGCAAGACGTCCTATTGGGGCAAGTGTTCCACAAGGAAGCGCGCTGGGTCCATTGTTATGGAATGTCTACTTCAACGACCTTCTTCATCTCATCCCAGAATCACATGCATATGCAGACGACTGTACACTGACATTCACTTATCCAAGAGAAGAAATGCCAGCTGCTCTAAGCTACATCAATCACCAGCTGAGAGCTATATCAGCTTGGGGAAATAGATGGCAAGTTACATTTGCACCTGAGAAAACGCAAATGATGATCGTCTCTAGGCACCATGATGGTAATGCTGGTGCAGTAGTAAGGATGAATGGGAGGGTGTTGGCACCGGGAGAAGAAGTTGATATCCTTGGGGTGAAATTTGACTCCAAACTAACCATGAAGAACCATGTTGTAAATCTTGCAAACAAGGCAGCCACGAAGCTTACAGCACTTCGCCGTATCTCGCATCTGCTTGACAGTAGGGGTTGCAAGATCCTGTACGAGGCACAAGTACGCTCACACCTTGAGTATGCTCCACTTTCATGGTTTGCCTGCCCCCCCCCCCCCTCTCATCTGCGACTGCTTGACAGAGTAGAGAACAGAGCAAGACGTCTCATCTCTCGCCTGGACCCATCCTGGATAGATCTGTCATTTCAGCAGAGCCTTCAACATAGGAGGGATGTGGGTGGCCTTACTGTTATGTACAAGGCCAATATTGTCAAAATACCACACTTGAATCCACTTCGAGGACAGCATGAAACAAGCTTTTATGCCACAAGACGGGCAGAAAGCAGCAACTTCACTCTAGCTGTACCCTTCTCCAGAACATCACTCCATCTGAGATCATACATACCCAGGATGACTCGAGTATGGAACACATTTGTACAGCATAATGATGTCAACGAGATAAAGTCAGTTGATCAAATGAAAATGCTGGCCCACAGATGGCTCCAACTTCATCCTGTTCCCTACTTGTATGTCTCATAACAATAAAAATGCTTTCAAATGAGCTGATGTAGGTAACAGCTCTTAGCTTGCCAATAAAGTTAGGAATCCTTAACCTGTAAATAGCTTGTCAATAAAGCTAGGGATCCTTAACCTTGTCAAACCCTGTGAAAAAAAAAAAAAAAAAAAAAGAGGAGGGTGGGAGAGAGAGGGGGAGAGGTGGGGGAACGCGAGGGGGGAGAAAGAAAGATAGAAAGGGGGAGGGGAGAGAAGGCTAAAGAGGAGGGTGGGAGAGAGAGGGGGAGAGGTGGGGGAACGCGAGGGAGGGGGAGAGAGAAAGATAGAAAGAGGGAGGGGAGAGAAGGCTAAAGAGGAGGGTGGGAGAGAGAGGGGTAGAGGTGGGGGAAAGCGAGGGAAGGGGAGAGAGAAAGACAGAAAGAGGAAGGGGAGAGAAGGCTAAAGAGGAGGGTGGAAGAGAGAGGGGGAGAGGTGGGGAAATGCGAGGAAGGGGGAGAGAGAAAGATAGAAAGCGGGAGGGAGAGAAGGCTAATGAGGAGAGTGGGAGAGAGAGGTGGAGAGGTGGGGGAATGCGAGGGATGGGGAGAGAGAAAGATAGAAAGAGGGATGGGAGAGAAGGCTAAAGAGGAGGGTGGGAGAGAGAGGGGGAGAGGTGGGGAATGCGAGGGAGGGGGAGAGAGAAGGGGATGTTGACAACCAAGTGAAAACCTTCACTGGACACATCCTTACTCTACAACAAGTACGCATTCCTCACCGGCAATATGTGACGAAGCCTACAGATCAGCCTTGGTTTGGCTTTCGTTGTAGAGAGGCTGCTACTGCTAAGTACAAAGCATGGCGAAGGTATAAGAGACATCCTATCACCTATAACAGGAACTTGCACACGCAAGCCTGTAGGCATATGGGTGACGTTCAAAAGTGGGCCATTGCTAAATGGGAGGTGGACACTAAAAGAAAGCTAGCATCAGGTAGGGTAGGCTCCAAAACCTGGTGGTCCCTGGTCAAGGACAGTCAAGGTTATCTGCCTGATGAACTCATTCCACCTCTAAATCGACAGGATGGGACCACCTCTACTAGTAGTCAAGAGAAGGCGGACCTCTTTGCTGAACACTTTGCTACCAAAATGAAAGTTCCTGATCCAGCAAGGGACCCTCCTTGGCTAGCTGTAAGAACTGTGTCAAAACTGTCAGTGGTGACAATAAGGCAGGAGGAGGTGCATTTCCTTCTTAAATCGCTTGACCAAGAAAAGGCTGTGGGCCAAGACAAGTTGAGCCCAAGATTGTTGAGAAGATGTGCAGACCAGCTAGCAGCACCTCTAACTCGCATCTTTCAGCACTGCCTAGTACAGTGTAAATGGCCCTCTCTGTGGAAAGAGGCAAATGTAGTCCCTGTTCACAAAAAGAAGAGCAGAGCAGAAATCAGCAACTACAGACCAGTGTCACTCCTGTCAATCACTGGTAAGATCCTTGAGACAATAATCTCAAGACAAATGACAGATTTTTTTGACTACCACTCACTACTTTGTGATCGTCAATATGGCTTCAGGAAAGGTTACTCTGCTGCTGATCTGTTGTTAAACCTCTCCACTAAGTGGCACCAGTCACTGGATGAATCCAAAGTCAGCTGTGTGGTAGCACTGGACATTGCTGGCGCTTTCGACCGGGTGTGGCACCAGGGCCTCTTAGCAAAACTTTAAGCACTGGGAATTGCAGGCTCTACGCTATGTCTCCTTAGTGATTACCTTCATGGTAGATCTCTAAGTGTAGTTCTCAATGGAACGGAATCAGCAAGACGTTCTATTGGGGCAAGTGTTCCACAAGGAAGCGTGCTGGGTCCATTGTTATGGAATGTCTACTTCAATGACCTTCTTCATCTCATCCCAGAATCACATGCATATGCAGACGACTGTACACTGACATTCACTTATCCAAGAGAAGAAATGCCAGCTGCTCTAAGCTACATCAATCACCAGCTGAGAGCTATATCAGCTTGGGGAAATAGATGGCAAGTAACATTTGCACCTGAGAAAACGCAAATGATGATCGTCTCTAGGCACCATGATGGTAATGCTGGTGCAGTAGTAAGGATGAATGGGAGGGTGTTGGCACCGGGAGAAGAAGTTGATATCCTTGGGGTGAAATTTGACTCCAAACTAACCAAGAAGAACCATGTTGTAAATCTTGCAAACAAGGCAGCCACGAAGCTTACAGCACTTCGCCGTATCTCGCATCTGCTTGACAGTAGGGGTTGCAAGATCCTGTACGAGGCACAAGTACGCTCACACCTTGAGTATGCTCCACTTTCTTGGTTTGCCTGCCCCCCCCCTCTCATCTGTGACTGCTTGACAGAGTAGAGAACAGAGCAAGACGTCTCATCTCTCGCCTGGACCCATCCTGGATAGATCTGTCATTTCAGCAGAGCCTTCAACATAGGAGGGATGTGGGTGGCCTTACTGTTATGTACAAGGCCAATATTGTCAAAATACCACACTTGGATCCACTTCGAGGACAGCGTGAAACAAGCTTTTATGCCACAAGACGGGCAGAAAGCAGCAACTTCACTCTGGCTGAACCCTTCTCCAGAACATCACTCCATCTGAGATCATACATACCCAGGATGACTCGAGTATGGAACACATTCGTACAGCATAATGATGTCAACGAGATAAAGTCAGTTGATCAAATGAAAATGCTGGCCCACAGATGGCTCCAACTTCATCCTGTTCCCTACTTGTATGTCTCATAACAATAAAAATGCTTTCAATTGAGCTGATGTAGGTAACAGCTCTTAGCTTGCCAATAAAGTTAGGAATCCTTAACCTGTAAATAGCTTGTCAATAAAGCTAGGGATCCTTAACCTTGTCAAACCCTGTGTAAAAAAAAAAAAAAAAAAAAGATAGAAAGAGGGAGTAGAGAGAAGGCTAAAGAGGAGGGTGGGAGAGAGAGAGGGAGAGGTTGGGGAATGCGAGGGAGGGGAGAGAGAAAGATAGAAAGAGGGAGGGGAGAGAAGGCTAAAGAGGAGGGTGGGAGAGAGAGGGGGAGAGGTAGGGGAATGCGAGGGAGGGAGAGAGAGAAAGATAGAAAGAGGGAGGGGAGAGAAGGCTAAAGAGGAGGGTGGAGAGAGAGAGGGGAGAGGTGGGGAACGCAAGGGTAGGCAGAGAGAAAGATAGAAAGAGGGAGGGGAGAGAAGGCTAAAGAGGAGGGTGGGAGAGAGAGGGGGAGAGGTGGGGGAATGCGAGGGAGGGGGAGAGAGAAAGATAGAAAGAGGGAGGGAGAGAAGGCTAAAGAGGAGGGTGGGAGAGAAAGGGGGAGAGGTGGGGGAACGCGAGGGATGGGGAGAGAGAAAGATAGAAAGAGGGAGGGGAGAGAAGGCTAAAGAGGAGGGTGGGGGAGAGAGGGGGAGAGGTGGGGGAACGCGGTCAAATTCCAAGGATCAGCTGTGTAAATGAGAGGGTGTGTGTGTGTGTTCTCACCTAGTTGTGGTATCAGGGGTCGAGACTCAGCTCCTGGCCCCGAGTGTGTGTGTGTGTGTGTGTGTATTGCAAAAGCAGATAAATTCCACTTTTCTAACAGAGAGCTCATGGTTATGAAGAATAATGTAAGTTTCCTATGTTAACAATATAATTTTTATTTCCCTTTTTAAGGGACCTTTTCTGGTATATCTACTGCGTTTGTTAATAAATACAATGTAAGCGTAGACTCACCTGGCTTGGAAAAGCGAATCATGTCATCGATGCCTTGTACAGGGACGTGACCTTCACCCATCCCGCCAGCAATTACTACCACGTCATAGGTATCTGGTTAAAACACAAGATAAACACCTTATCACATGATCTTCCAGTGATATATGTATATTCTACTTGTCATACCAGCAACAGAAATTCGCTCAAAATAAATCGTCATAATGTAGCTACAAATTACATGCAGCAAAGTCAGATTTTTTATTATTACGACATTTTACTAACTGAAAGCTTTATATAGCTGATAAAATACTTACAATTTATATTGATAATGCTGAAAGGTAAGCACCTGAGGTACGTGGAGAGGATGAGGACATATAGGTGAGGTGTCCATAGATCTAAGACAACAATGAGTGAGGTCTGAGCCATGGGGTGAGGCCTTGGTAATTTGTGCTTCCTGTTTCAAAAGAGTTTTTGTGGTGTTTTGCTAAAATGTACATTACTCACTTCTCTGTTACGTTATTGTTGACATGAATAGCTGAAGAGTTCGTAGGTTCGTAGGTTCGAGTCTCCTTCAGCCAGAGATCAGTGTTTGTGTATATTTCGCCTGCTCTTGCGAATTCCTTGAATTGTTAATATCTTGGTAAGGCATGCAGGGGATGAGATGAAAAGCTGTAAGCCTTCTCCCTGAAAGCTGGCTGCCTTGTATCAACGTGTAGCGCAAGCTGGACTCCAAGGTATTGGTCCAGTGCGGGTAGATTGGTAAAGCACTGCGTACCTTGTTCCAAGGTTCGTAGGTTCGAGTCTCCTTTAGCCAGAGATCAGTGTTTGTATACACACACACACACACACACACACACACACACACACACATATATATTATTATATATATATATATATATATAATATATAATATATATATATATATATTATATATATATATATATATATTTTAAAGTACCACCTCTATAGCTGGACTGGGGACCCTCATCTTCAGAGAAGACAATAAACGTACCTCAGGGAAAACTCAAGGTTCTCCCCGGAGCTGTTTGAATATTTTCTTCTCCTACCACCCTCATATATATATATATATATATATATTATATATATATATATATATATATATATATATATATATATATATATATATATATATATGCAAAACAACCACTCTGAAAGAATAGAAAAATTCCAAGCGCTTTCGTGACTACTCACATTATCAAGGAACTATGAAAGTAAAGCATCCAAGGAAGCTATATACGGGGTCTGGCCAGCACCTCACTATCAGATCCCACAACTGTTAAACACCTGACGCGCGCCGACCCAACTTGGATAGGTCCTTTGCACAACTCATCCCACAAACTATTCTACCCAAGAAAATTTAAAAATTATTTGTCCAGTGTATTATTAAATTCTTCCCAAATTCTATTAATTATAAACGGATCTAATTTATATAAACCAAAGGAAATATTCATATTATTGTCAAAACTGCTTTTTATGAATATTTCCTTTGGTTTATATAAATTAGATCCGTTTATAATTAATAGAATTTGGGAAGAATTTAATATAATACACTGGACAAATAATTTTTAAATTTTCTTGGGTAGAATAGTTTGTGGGGTGAGTTGTGCAAAGGACCTATCCAAGTTGGGTCGGCGCGCGTCAGGTGTTTAACCGTTGTGGGATCTGATAGTGAGGTGCTGGCCAGATCCTTATATAGCTTCCTTGGATGCTTTACTTTCATAGTTCCTTGATAATGTGGGTAGTCACGAAAGCGCTTGGAATTTCTCTATTCTTTCAGAGTGGTTGTTTTGCATATTCTGAAATCACCTGTTTACTGTGATCTTATTGCATATATATTATATATATATATATATATATATATATATATATATATATATATAATATATATATATATTATATATAATATATATATTATATATATATATATGCAGGACAAGCCACGGGGGGGGGGAATCTTTAGCTCAAGTACAATCACACTTCTCAGCGCGTAATCGAGAATTTACCTGGAGAGGGTTTTTCGGGGGTCAACTCCCCCGCAGCCCGGTCTGAGACCAGGCCTCATGGTGGATCAGGGTCTGATCAACCAGGCTGTTACTGTTGGCCGCACGCAAGCTGACGTACGAACCACAGCCCGGTTGGTCAGGTACTGGCTTTAGGTGTCTGTCCAGTGCCTTCTTGAAGACTGTCAGGGGTCTATTGGTAATCCCCCTTATGAATGCTGGGGGCAATTGAACAGTCTTGGGCCCCGGACACTTATTGTCTTGTCTCTCAGTGTACTCGTGGCACCTCTGCTTTTCATCTGGGGAATGTTGCATCTCCTGCCGAGTCTTTTGCTTTCATAGGGAGTGATTTTCGTGTGCAGGTTTGGTACCAATCCCTCCAGGACCTTCCAAGTGTATATTATCATGTATCTCTATCGCCTGTGTTCCAGGGAATACAGATAAAGGACCTTTAACCGTTCCCAGTAGTTTAGGTGCTTTATCGTGCTTATGTGTGCCGTGAAAGTTCTTTGTACACTCTCCAGGTCTGCAATGCCTTGAAGGGGCAGTTAATGCACAGCAGAATCCCAGCCAAGAGAGCACAAGCGATTTGAAGAGAATCATAATGGGCTTGGCGTCCCAAGTTTTGAAGGTTCTCTTTATCCATCCTATCATTTTCCTAGTGGATAACGTAGGTACATTGTTGTGGTCTTTGAAGGCGAGGTCCTCTGACATTATCACTCCCAGGAGCTGTGCAAAGTTGCAAGGGAGCAACCAAAGCAGGGAGAGATTCTCTCCCTGCTTTCTGGTCGGTGCTAACCCCACTCTTCCGTCATCCACCTAGTGCCCATATAGGGTAGGAAGGTTTCTGAGATGTCAAGTATGAAAGTATAAGATATAAAAAGCCAGCCCAAAGCTTTATCTAATCGTTTATAACAGGTCATGTGGTTTATAACAGGTCATGTGGTTTATAACAGGTCATGTGGTTTATAACAGGTCATGTGGTTTATAACAGGTCATGTGGTTTATAACAGGTCATGTGGTTTATAACAGGTCATGTGGTTTATAACAGGTCATGTGTTTTTATAACAGGTAAATGTGGTATATAACAGGTCATGTGGTTTATAACAGGTCATGTGGTTTATAACAGGTCATGTGGTATATAACAGGTCATGTGGTTTAAAAACAGGTCATGTGGTATATAACAGGTCATGTGGTTTATAACAGGTCATGTGGTATATAACAGGTCATGTGGTTTATAACAGGTCATGTGGTTTATAACAGGTCATGTGGTATATAACAGGTCATGTGGTTTATAACAGGTCATGTGGTATATAACAGGTCATGTGGTTTATAACAGGTCATGTGGTTATAAACAGGTCATGTGGTTTATAACAGGTCATGTGGTTTATAACAGGTCATGTGGTTTATAACAGGTCATGTGGTTTATAACAGGTCATGTGGTATATAACAGGTCATGTGGTTTATAACAGGTCATGTGGTATATAACAGGTCATGTGTTTATAACAGGTCTTTGTGGTTTATAACAGTCATGTGTATATAACAGGTCATGTGGTTTATAACAGGTCATGTTGGTATATAACAGGTCATGTGGTTTATAACAGGTCATGTGGTTTATAACAGGTCATGTGGTTTATAACAGGTCATGTGGTTTATAACAGGTCATGTGGTATATAACAGGTCATGTGGTTTATAACAGGTCATGTGGTTTATAACAGGTCATGTGGTTTATAACAGGTCATGTGGTATAAAACAGGTCATGTGGTTTAATAACAGGTCATGTGGTATATAACAGGTCATGTGGTTTATAACAGGTCATGTGTATATAACAGGTCATGGTGGTTTATAACAGGTCATGTGGTTTATAACAGGTCATGTGGTATATAACAGGTCATGTGGTTTATAACAGGTCATGTGGTTTATAACAGGTCATGTGGTTTATAACAGGTCATGTGGTTTATAACAGGTCATGTGGTATATAACAGGTCATGTGGTTTATAACAGGTCATGTGGTATATAACAGGTCATGTGGTTTATAACAGGTCATGTGGTTTAAAACCCAGGTCATGTGGTATATAACAGGTCATGTGGGTTATAACAGGTCATGTGGTATATAACAGGTTCATGTGGTTTATAACAGGTCATGTGGTTTATAACAGGTCATGTGGTTTATAACAGGTCATGTGGTTTATAACAGGTCATGTGGTTTGAGAAAATAAGTTTCACGATAGACACTGTAGACATGGATAGTTATTATTCAGTGTGACCTTTTTAAATAATGAAAGAAAGGAATACAATGTTCTCTTTGTCCGTTTAAATGTCCTGCTATGAGGTACTCCAATGTTCTACCCATGTACTCTGAGGTGCTCCAATGTTCTACCCATGTACTCTGAGGTGCTCCAATGTTCTACCCATGTACTCTGAGGTGCTCCAATGTTCTACCCATGTACTCTGAGGTGCTCCAATGTTCTACCCATGTACTCTGAGGTACTCCAATGTTCTACCCATGTACTCTGGGGTACTCCAATGTTCTACCCATGTACTCTGAGGTGCTCCAATGTTCTACCCATGTACTCTGAGGTGCTCCAATGTTCTACCCATGTACTCTGAGGTGCTCCAATGTTCTACCCATGTACTCTGAGGTGCTCCAATGTTCTACCCATGTACTCTGAGGTACTCCAATGTTCTACCCATGTACTCTGAGGTACTCCAATTTTTCAAACCATGTACTCTGGGGTACCCCAATGTTCTACCCATGTACTCTGAGGTGCTCCAATGTTCTACCCATGTACTCTGAGGTGCTCCAATGTCCTACCCATGTACTCTGGCGTACTCCAATGTTCTACCCATGTACTCTGAGGTACTCCAATGTTCTACCCATGTACTCTGAGGTGCTCCAATGTTCTACCCATGTACTCTGAGGTGCTCCAATGTTCTACTCATGTACTCTGAGGTGCTCCAATGTTCTACCCATGTACTCTGGGGTACTCCAATGTCCTACCCATGTACTCAGGGGAACTACAATGTTCTACCCATGTACTCTGGGGTACTCGAATCTTCTACCCATGTACTCTGGGGTACTTGAATGTTCTACTCATGTACTCTGAGGCACTTGAATGATCTACCCATGTACTCTGAGGTACTCGAATGTTCTACCCATGTACTCTGAGGTACTTGAATGTTCTACCCATGTACTCTGTGGTACTCGAATGTTCTACCCATGTACTCTGGGGTACTTGAATGTTCTACCTATGTACTCTGGGGTACTTGAATGTTCTACCCATGTACTCTGTGGTACTCGAATGTTCTACCCATGTGCTCTGGGGTACCTGAATGCTCTTCCCATGTACTCTGGGGTACTCGAATGTTCTACCCATGTACTCTGGGGTACTTGAATGTTCTACCAATGTACTCTGGGGTACTCGAATGTTCTACCCATGTACTCTGGGGTACTCGAATGTTCTACCCATGTACTCTGGGGTACCTGAATGTTCTACCCATGTATTCTGGGGTACTAGTATGTTCTACGCATGTACTCTGGGGTACTCGAATATTCTACCCATGTACTCTGGGGTACTCGAATGCTCTACCATGTACTTTGTGGTACTCGAATGTTCTACCCACGTACTCTGGGGTACTCGAATGTTCTACCCATGTACTCTGGGGTACTTGAATGTTCTACCCATGTACTCTGAGGTACTCGAATGTTCTACCCATGTACTCTGGGGTACTCGAATGTTCTACCCATGTATTCTGGAGTACTCGAATGTTCTACCCATGTACTCTGGGGTACTTGAATGTTCTACCCATGTACTCTGAGGTACTCGAATGTTCTAACCATGTACTCTGGGGTACTCGAATGTTCTACCCATGTATTCTGGAGTACTCGAATTTTCTACCCTTGAACTCTGTGGTACTCGAATGTTCTTCCAATAAGATAAGATAAGATTTCGTTCGGATTTTTAACCCCGGAGGGTTAGCCACCCAGGATAACCCAAGAAAGTCAGTGCGTCATCGAGGACTGTCTAACTTATTTCCATTGGGGTCCTTAATCTTGTCCCCCAGGATGCGACCCACACCAGTCGACTAACACCCAGGTACCTAATTGCTGCTAGGTGAACAGGACAACAGGTGTAAGGAAACGTGTCGAAATGTTTCCACCCGCCGGGAATCGAACCCGGGCTCTCCGTGTGGGAAGCGGAAGCTTTAACCACCAGGCCACCGGGCCACACTAATGTACTCTGGGGTACTCGAATGTTCTACCCATGTACTCTGGGGTACTTGAATGTTTTACCCATGTACTCTGGGGTACTTGAATGTTCTACCCATGTACTCTGGAGTACTCGAATGTTCTACCTATGTACAGTGGGGCACTTGAATGTTCTACCCATGTACTCTGGGGTACTCGAATGTTCTACCCATGTACTCTGGGGTACTCGAATGTTCTCCCAATGTACTCTGGGGTACATGAATGTTCTACCCATGTATTCTGGGGTAATCGAATGTTCTACCCATGTACTCAGGGGTAATCGAATCTTCTACCCATGAACTCTGGGGTACTCGAATGTTCTACCCATGTACTCTGGGGTAATCGAATGTTCTACCCATGTACTCAGGGGTACTCGAATGTTCTACCCATATACTCTGAGGTACTTGAATGTTCTACTTATGTACTCTGGTGTACTCAAATGTTCTACCCATGTACTCTGAGGCACTCCAGTGTTCCACCCATGTACTCTGGGGTACTTAAATGTTATACCCATGTACTCTGGGGCACGCGAATGTTCTTCCCATGTACTCTGGGGTACTCGAATGTTCCACCCATGTACTCTGGGGTACTTGAATGTTCTACCCATGTACTCTGGGGTACTCAAATGTTCTACCCATGTACCCTGGGGTACTCGAAAGTTCTAACCGTGTACTCTGAGGTACTCGAATGTTCTACCCATGTACTGAGGGACACTCGAATTTTCTACTCATGAACTCTGGGGTACTCGAGTGTTCTACCTATGTACTCTGAGGTTCTCGAATGTTCTACCCTTGTACTATGGGGTACTCGAGTGTTCTACCCATGTTCTCTTGGGCACTTGAATTTTCTACCTATGTTCTCTTGGGTATTCGAATGTTCTACCCATGTACTCTGGGGTATTCGAATGTTCTACCCATGTACTCTGGATTACTCGAATGTTCTACCACATATACTCTGAGGTACTCGAATGTTCTACCCATGTACTCTGGGGCACTCGAATGTTCTACCCATGTACTCTGGGTACTCGAATGTTCTACTCATATACTCTGAGGTACTCGTATGTTCTACCCATGTACTCTTAGGTACTCGTATGTTCTACCCTTGTACTCAGAAGTATCTTTTCCTAAATATTGTCTGCTATTTTTCTCAGTGTCGGTTAATATGCCATACATACATACATATAATATATATATATATATATAATTTATAATATATATACTAATATATATATATATTATATAATATTTTATATATATATATATATATATATATATGGTGAGGGAAAACGCATGACGCTTTAAACCACTAGACCAGACAATCCTTATCAATTTTGCATCCAGCCAAGCTAGATGTTGTATACACCATCGAAGGACATACGGTGGTGTGGACGCTAGTACACAAACAGGGAGTAGAATGAAATTAGCTCAGAGTCGTCCACACCACCGTCTGTCCATCGATGGTGGATACAACATCTAGCTTGGCTGGATGCACCATTGTTAAGGATTGTGTGGTCTAGTGATCTAATGCATCATGCGTTCTCTCTCACCTTGATGTGGGCCAAAACAGCATGGGTTCGACTCCTTGGCCAGTGCAGTGTTGTTATTGATCAATACCACTTGTTCCGTGGGTACAATAATATATATATATATATATTCAGACAGCTTCGGGGAGAGCCTTGAGTTTTCCCTGAAATACGTTCATTCTCTTCTCTGTGGTTGAAGGTCCCCAGTCCAGTTCTGGAGATTGTACCTCTAGAATTAATTTCAACTACCTCCCGTTTGAATACCAGCCTCCAAAGCAGTTTACATAGTAATGAAACCACGAAACAAGTGGTATTGAAACATTTACCAAACTGCAGCCAGCCGAGATCAGATCCTGCAACATATTCTCCCGCCACAAGAGACAGAGCAATGTTCACATCGCATTAACAACATAACTAGCAATCCATCAAAGATCACTCACCCAGCAGAGCTAGGTGTTGTTCGTGATCCGAGTGTCCTCGGATTACGAACAGAATATGGGGGCTCGGCTTATTTTGCCTTTTATAAAGAAGTTAGATGAGGGTGCTCGTATACCCTCATACTATAACATATTCTACCCCTAAAAGCCGGTGGGCATTCTGCTCCAGCAGAGTAATATACGCAAACACCAGCACATGTTTTCACTTTGAGGGATGGTGTTTTTTCCTATCATTATGATATAATAAACATGAACACCAGCACATGCCTCACCTTGAGGGACTGTGTTCTGCCCCATTCCGATAAACTCCTGATACTTGAAGGTGTAGATATCAGTGTCTTTAAGGATCCTCATCATTCCTTCCGAAGGCTCCAATGCATCTATGTTCCTAGATAATTCATAAGCTACATTGACACACCGACCTCATTAATATTCACTAATATTTAAAGCACTTATAAGACAAATATAATAATTAATATATTTACATATAATTGCAATTATATAATTATTACATCTAGATATAATTATCAAAAGATCAGTGCAGACAACAGCAACTGTACAGTGTGACGTGAACTTCTAACGTAACTGTATATATTTTAAGAACTCATGTGAATCACTAAAGACATTCACAAATTATTTCATTGAAACTACTATTCCAAATTCGTCAACATGGCAAATTAGGACATACATAGTCAAAAATTCCTTTAAATCTCCCAGTAAGAAACACCAGCCTAGAGTCAAACAGATGAGGCAGATTCTCGTTGTCTCAGAGAGATCAGTACCTTTATATATACCGGTATGCAAAGTTTGAAGTCGCACACAAATTACATTATCTAGTTATCAGCGATGAAATATTAAGACAATCAGTTGACGTACTCAGAAATTATTGCATTCAAAACTATATTTAAATTTTCTCACTTTTATTTAAAAAGGGCAAATTGGGATCTACAAAAGCGGAAATCATTCCAAACTGTCCTGTAAGATAGGAATAAGTAAGTGGGTAAAAAGGTATGTAATTAAGAATATATAAATGTATATAAATAAGTAATTTTTATTAAGGCTTTGGGTACATAACATTAAATTTCCTTTACAAAGTTATTATGGACACAAATATGTTATGGGAGCATAAAAACATTCATTGTGTAGATTTAGCGTCGTATAATTCAATAAAATGTGGCATTTCTGATCAAAACAGACACAGTAATCTTTACACAACCCAAGAAGCTTCGTTTGAAGATAGCACATTAGAAATAAAATTTTAATGGCGACCTGACAACGAATTCTATAGTCAATGCACAAAATTTACAATATGCACCTAGACACCAATTCCTCTGGACAGCCATTCATTTCCAACACCTTCTTATGGCTAATACCAAATATTACATTACCTTTTCTTTCTGGTCTCTGTTTTTCCTCGCCCAGCTGTGATTTGACAACAAGATGGACTGAAATGTCGTCTTAAGAATAGGTTTTTGGCAATTTTTAAAGTTTTCACTTGATTCTTATTCTTCATTATGTTTGGTATTAAAATGTAAACATTCTCAGAATCATCTCCTTGACTGTAATATTTCTCATGGTAACTGTTATGGATCTATAAGCCTCAGTATCTGCACTGTGAGTTAGAACAACTGAGAAACATCTTCAGTGTGTCTTCATCAACAAAATCATTATCTTGAGAAAAATATTGAAAAAAATTTTCTTGATACTGATTATATGTTTTTGAGCATCATAAGCCAGCTATTTAGCAGCTGTATATTACACTGAAATGCTTGCTGAAGATGTATGAAATTAGATATTAGATTTAGGAGTGGTACGAGAATTGAAACTGTCTCGCATGGGCCAGTAGGCCTGTGCAGTGTTCCTTCTTTCTTATGTTCTGCAAGGAGCTGCTGCTGCCTCAAGAATAGACGTAGTGGCTTCTCTTAGGGAAAATCTTTATTGGAATTTGATTCAGGCCCTGATCCACCATGAAGCCTGGTCACAGACCGGACCGCGGGGGCGTTGACCCACGGAAAACTCCAGGTAAACAGAAGAGCTTCCACAGGAGACTGGGACTTAATGTATGTTTTAAGCAGAAAGTGAGGTGTGAGTGTAAGAATGATCTGAAAATGGAAGTGAGGCTTATGATGGTGTCAGTTAGACAATGAAGTCACGTGATTCCTGTGTTGTGAGGTAGGCTGCTCTTTGCCTGATTGAGTATTCTGGTCGAGTAAGCCCAACCTTCCTCAAAATATATGAATCACTTGACTTCATTATCTGCCTGACCTCATTTTCATTTTTCTCTTTCATGTTACACTGACATCCTGCTTTATTAATACTGGTAGAATTACCGACAATATGTTAAGTAAAAGGACACACATGCAACTGATGTGACATTTTAGGTTGGAAACCTATAAAAAAAAATTATCTCACACACTTCTACTCCAGTCAAGATACTAAGGCCAAAAGAGGCATCATCATCGGATTTTTTCTAAGAGCATAATACCGAATTTGTAGTCCTGAGTTTCTTGACGAGGAATGTACTTACATTCACCAAACCTTCACTAATCTACATTTTCCTTTCTTTTTCATCAAATACTGCAAGAAAAGAGCTCTTCAGATCATTAATTCTCCACGCACCAACACCACTTCTAACAAAGGTTGCTTTGAACGTTTCTAAAGTACTAGCACAAGCTAACACTAGAGTCGCCATTGCTTCCAGCACTTCAATAAAGGAGCTAACCAGGACAAAATCCAAGCACCACGAACCAGTCAATGCAGGGGTTTACACTATACCCTGTGGAGGCTGCAACAAGATTCATGTAGGTGAAACAGCAAGAAACTTCGAAACACGCCTATGCATGTAGGAACGATAATATGAACAACGCCTGTGTACAACACCGAAATTCCACCAATCATCTCCTGAAATTCTGGAACGCCCGATTAGTGATCAAAGAAACTAATTTCCGCAGACGCAAGTGCCTTGAATCAGTATTAATCGCTGTTTCTAACGTAGTTAAACAAAACAAAGGCAGCTTCACCAGGCTTGTTCCTCTGGCAGACTTGTCCCTCTGGTAGGATCGTCCCTCTGTCAGACTTGTCCCTCTGGCAGGATCGTCCCTCTGGCAGACTTGTCTGAGGTGTGCTTCAAGCCTAACTTACAGTGAGTGAGTGCTCATGGTATTGGGTTGTTTTGTAACTACCATCTCTTATTTATTTAATATTAATTTCAACTCCTCTCTAAAAGTATGTAACAAAGGCGTATTTTGAGTTTGTGTAAGTAGACATTTATTAAAAATGCATTTTTGAGAATTATTGGTATTAATATAAGGCCGCTTTTACGCACCTGATCCACTTGCACGTCAGCTAGTATTAATAACAGATAGTGTGCTTAATGATATAATTATATCTTATTGGGAATATATTTGCTTTACATTTAACAGTTCAAATTAGTGAATATTTGAACACCTGCAACCTGAGTTAATTATCCGTTATTTAGGTCAGTATGCTAAGTTAGGAAAGTGTAAATAATTACATATTTTGCAATTATTTGATTAGTTATTGTTTCTTGCCGTACTTATTATGATTTAATAAACTATATGAAATTTAAATTTTAAATGATGTTTTTATTTTTTGTAAATATAAAATAAATAATTAAATGTTCCTATTTATAAATACCGTTTCGGGCTCCTTTAAATGATAAACAATCTTCACACTTAGGTACAGGGATATAAGGTTATTTTATACAAGAACTACATGGAACACCTATCACATGGGTCGAGGTAAAAGGACTGAGGTTACAGTAAACAAGGAACACCTGTCTTGTGAGTTCAGGTTGAAGGTCAGAAGTAATGGTATATGGGAGCTGGAGTTAAGTAATGTAAGGAACACTTATTTCATGTGTTGATATACTGGGACATGAGTTGTTAAAAAGGGAACACTAGTCTCGAGGATTAACTACAGAGGCTGAGATTATGTGGTACAGAGTCTGGGGTTACGCTGTACACTAATACTTAATGTGACTCGTGAAATCGTAATGACATGATTGCAAACAAACCATACCACGGGTGGGGTTAGAACCCGCGATTAGAGAGTCGTAAAACTCCAGATCGACGCGTTAGCCACTGGACCAGCTGGCTTCAATAAGATTCATCCAACTAGGTATATTTCTACACGATAGAAAGGTTACCATGGGCACCACTGTGACTACAAAGCTTGCATTTGTGGTCACAGTGGTGCCTATGCTAACCTTCCTATGGTGTATAAATATACCTAGTTGGATGAATCTTATTGTAGCTACGTAACCCAGTGGCTAACGCGTCGGTCTGGAGTTTTATGACTCTCTGATCGCAAGTTCTAACCCCGCCCGTGGTATGGTCAGTAACACCTAACTCGGTTAGTACAGTAACACCACCATATTTAGTTCATATAATTCCTTCCTAAGTATTGACAGCTTCACATGAAGCTATCAGTACAATACAAAACACAAAGCAAATATATCTCTTAGTTCTCACCTGAAGCCTCTCTCGTACAGTTGATGGCCCACCAAGCCAGTGCCAGCGGCCACATCCAGAACCCTCACTTTCTGACGGTACTCCTCAGGAATCACACGTGACACTTCCTCAGCAGCAATGATGTGACCTCTGTAGATTCCATCGCCCATCATCTGGCCATAGGTACAGTAATATTAATATATTTTTTAGAAAAACCTAATATACCCCTCTTCCCCTTCCTCATTCACACACACACACACACTCCACAATTAGGTGAGTACAATTAGGTGAGTACACACACACACACACACTCCACAATCAGGTGAGTACAATTAGGTGAGTACACACACACACACAAGGTATGATAAAGCTGATGGTGCAGGGAGAGTGACCCAGTAGCGGCCAGAGAAGAGGCGGGGCCGAATCGACCCCTGCAACCACAACTAGGTGAGTACACACCGTGCGGGAGCAACAGCTCGTTTTCGCTCGTGAATCTTTAGTAGTTAGTGGCCAATCAAAGCCACTGTCAGGGTCGTCGGAAGTTGACAGTGTCAGTGAACAACCCGAGAAATGATACATGATCTGTCCCAATCAGAAAAGTGAGGTTAAGGAGACAGACATGACAACAATCTGAATTAGTGCCAAGAGAGAGTGGAATGGTGTGGGCGTAGGTGGTATTGCCACATCCCAATACCAAAATTCAAGAGAATAAGTGTGACTCAAGCCAGGGAGATAAGAGACAAGGGTGGTTGAGTTAGTGACTCCAGTGTTTAGTGAATACAGCGAAGAAAAAATAGAAGAGGAGCCAGAATGGGAAGCATCTTCCAGCGCATGAGTGGAGCAGTGTGGGCCTGCCAGACGTAACACAGCCTTTTTGTGGTTGCAAGGCGGTATTGGCCCTGTATTACTGATAGCTGAGGGTCATAAACCCTGCTCTGGAGAGCTGAATATCATATTTAGGGAACTAATCACTAAACAGAGGAGTAGAATTGGGGAAGGGGGAATACAGGTGGGGACCAAAGGCACTATAGTGTGCGTGCTAACACTAACATTGTTTATTCAGTAAGTATAACTCCAGGTATACACGAGTAGGTACACAGGCATTTGTACAGTAAGTATAGCACCAGGTATACACGAGTAGGTACACAGGCATTTGTACAGTAAGTATAGCTCCAGGTATACACGAGTAGGTACACAGGCATTTGTACAGTAAGTATAGCTCCAGGTATACACGAGTAGGTACACAGGCATTTGTACAGTAAGTATAGCTCCAGGTATACACGAGTAGGTACACAGGCATTTGTACAGTAAGTATAGCTCCAGGTATACACGAGTAGGTACACAGGCATTTGTACAGTAAGTAAGTATAGCACCAGGTATACACGAGTAGGTACACAGGCATTTGTACAGTAAGTATAGCTCCATGTATACACGAGTAGGTACACAGGCATTTGTACAGTAAGTATAGCTCCAGGTATACACGAGTAGGTACACAGGCATTTGTACAGTAAGTATAGCTCCAGGTATACACGAGTAGGTGAGCAGGTGTTTACTCAGTAAGTGTAGCACCAGGTATATACGATTAGGTGCACAGGTGTTTACTCAGTAAGTATAGATCTAGGTGTACACAAATAGGTGCACAGGTGTTTACTCAGTATGGCACCAGGTATACAAGAGTAGGTGCACAGGTGTTTACTCAGTAAGTAAAAATAGATCCAGGTGTACACAAATAGATGCACAGGTGTTTACTCAGTAAGTATAGCTCCAGGTATACACGAGTAGTTGCACAGGTGTTTACTCAGTAAGTACAGATCCAGGTGTTACGCATAAATGTGGGATACCTGGGGTCTAGAGCCTTGTCTAAGGGCAAAGGTAAAAGTTACACCCATCTTAGGCATAAACAGGCCACCCAGGGTGTGAAGGCTTACTCAGCCCTGTAACAACTTCAGTCAGTATTACCAAGGCTGGCTCCTCCTCAGGAAAATTAATGAATAGAAAAAGAATAAAAACTTACAAACATAAACACTTTATTATTTAGAAAATATAAAATACTTAAATATGAAATATTTATCCTACTTTAAAGAAAAATGAAAAATGAAAAATATAAATGATATCTGAATTCAACGCTAATATATACAATTAAACTTGGGTGTCTGGTTGATGTTGACACAGTCTTGTAGAGATTACAGCCGTTGTTGATGATGTGTGGGGGGAGTCACAGGTATTGGTGACAACCCAACGGCCAGTTCTTCAGAGTCTACAGCCTTGAATAGTCAGTCCAGATGACAGGAACGCAGGTTCTTTACCACTGCAAAGATGAGGGGTTATGTCCTGCGGTGGCGTACAGTTAATCAGGAAGGTAAAGAGTGACGTCTCGGGACGTTAGTCCATCTCTTTTCAACACTTCTCGTTGGTTGGCAGGTGACCCAATCTGTCATTTCAAGCTGGAAAGAGAGACAGGGTACCCACTGCTTAAGAAATCACTCTCTATGATAAGTACAATACCTAAAAGACGTGGTGATTGTCAAAACATCTAACATGGAGATCAAGGCTGAAAGGACTAAGTTTATTGTTGGTCAAAAGTGAAGCTTTCAACCAATAAGTCCACTAGAATAGGAGCAGGCTTGTACTTACAGTAGTGCTGGGAGCTGTGAGTCGAGTGATTACTGTTTGGCCGGAGCCCCACACGTCACCTTTCAGGGTGGGAAAAAAGGGGGAGGGGGGTAGCAGGAGCTAGACTTACACTACCTTAACAAGCAGCCAGCAATCAAACTATCGTTACCATATACTCGCTCGCTACTCCTATCTGTTGAACTTTTCCCTCACACAGGGCTATCCCAGTCAAAACAGAAAGCACTAAACCAGCATTTGTTACTTCAGTGGGTTGGTTAACAGAGGATTAGGCAAAATTCCTACTTAGAAAAATATATATTTATTCGTCATAACACTATATACACACTCTAGAAAACACCTTCATATATCTCCTATCCTAAACTCCCAAATTTCGGTACATACACACACACACACACACCACCACACACACACACACACACACAAAAAAAAAAAAAAAAAAAAAAAAAAAAAAAAAAAAAAATAGGCGGCTGGAGGTCCAGCAAACCATAAACACTCGGTCTAGCCAGTGCTCGGCCTTCACTACTCCAATACCAACCCCATTTCTTATTTCCTTACTCATCCCACAGCACCCTGACCATGTCAGAGCCTAGGTGAGCATACAGGTGAATCATAGAAGAGCCTATGCCTTGAGTTAACTAAACAAAAGGAGTACACAACTACAAAACTTAGCTTAAATATATGGCGTCTCCAACGCCAGCCTCCGTGCCATGTGGACCCCCCTGTGACCACCCAAGCCACGCTTATCCACTAACCAACACACAGTTGGAAAATAAATCCCTGGCAGGATTTCCTTAAAATTACCATTAAACTACTTTACAGTGACCCCAAATGCACATTATGAATTACAAAATTTTGCTTTACAGTTATAACATTCATACTATTATGGCACCCTTATCTACTGTATATACATTACAGTGTCATGCAAAACCCTGCATAACAACATTACAATGTCATGCAGAACCCTGCATAACACCAGGTATACACAAGTAGGTGCACAGATGTTTACTCACTAAGTATAGATTCAGGTATACACAAATAGGTGCACAGGTGTTTACTCAGTAAGTATAGATCCAGGTATACACGAGTAGGTGCAAAGGCATAGGCACAGTACTCTCGGTACAGGCTCTCTCGGAACATAGCATGCGTGTGGAGAGCCTAGGATAGGTCCTAAAGCCTGACAGCAAGATTATCCCTCCCTCTCCCCCCGCTTAGCTCGGCGCAGCAGGATAGTAATGCACACACACACACACACACACACACACACACACACACACACACACACACACACACACACGCACACACACACACACACACACACACACACACACACACACACACACACACACACACATACACACACCAGGCCCAGTGGCCTGGTGGCTAGAGCTCCCGCTTCACACACGGACGCCCCGGGTTCGATTCCCGGCGGGTGGAAACATTGCGACACGTTTCCTTACACCTGTTGTCCTGTTCACCTAGCAGCAAATAGGTACCTGGGTGTTAGTCGACTTGTGTGGGTCGCATCCTGGGGGACAAGATTAAGGACCCCAATGGAAATAAGTTAGACAGTCCTCGATGACGCACTGACTTTCTTACCCAGTAGCGATCAGTGAAGAGGCGGGGCCAGAAGCTGAGTCTCGACCTCTGCAACCACAATTAGGTGAGTACAATTAGGTGAGTACACACACACACACACCTTACCCTAACAGATACATCTCACATACCCACTCCAACACCTACAGTTCACACTCTCCTTTTACCTCCCCTACCTCTCTCTTTCTCTCTCTCTCCTGTCCACTTTCACCCTCTCCCTCTCTCCTATTCCACTATCCCTTCCTCCTCCTGCTCCTCCTCCTCCTATACCTCCTCCATCTCCCTCTGTCAGTATAGCTACTGAATTCCCCTATACTTATACTTGTGTAGTATATTGTAGATTGTATCATCCATGTGTATATTTAGGCTCCCTTTCAGTAGGCTCAATGATTACCATGTGTGACGTCATGTGATGCCATTGTGAGCACTGTGCGCTCGTCCTCTCTCTCAGTTCCCCACGCTTAGGTTTACGGCCAACACAGGCAGTCTGGGCTCCCCTCTATCACACTCTGCTAATATAAGTTACCATCCAACAAGTGTGTTTAACTCCAATCATCACATCTCCACGAACCCTCTCAACAAATGGTGCTAGCGGTGTGGGCGTAAAATTGTTATTTACGCGGATGTACGGAGATTTCTTTCGGCCAGCACGATGGACATTTTGTGTCACCAGCAGGCCGACCTCATAGCCAGCTACTCGAGCTAGCATCCACCAGCCTCTATGCACTACTTCCTGGTCAGTCTCTGTGTATTAGTATTTTATTTGCTTATTTGCATTACTTCCGAGGGGTTGACCCAGGTTTGCAAATTAAGCCAAGCCACCAAGCCAGTCTGTGGGGGGAGTCCAGCCCTACACCATCCAGCCTGTCTTAAGTACCTGCTTTGCCTGCTAAGCCAGCTTTTCACCCCTGATGTGCTCATTGTTACAAGTTCTCAAGCCAGTC